CAAAGAGTGGTTCAGTCAGAAGAGCAGCAGAGGAAAGTGTAGTATCAGCAGACTAAATATAACCCTTTCCACAATTTCCATGAGTCAGATAGTGCTTAATGCTGTGTAATTATGGAATGACTTCTAAAGACAACTTGCCAGGGGCTTCATGTGCAGCACTGAAATGTCAAGAGCTAAATTTGGTACTGTCACTCTGTGGTCTCCTTGTCTTGCAAAGATTTAATTATCTTTAAGTGAAAGGTATTATTCACTATTAGTTGGTGGACACATCTCTTCCTTTGAAAGCCGTATTTTACTTTGCAAAGACCTTATTCAGTCACATACGCTTCAAAATCTAACTCTAGAGAGAGTTACAAAATGCCCTTTAATCTTTTCTATTCCTTTCCATCTGTTTTGTTCTTTTCAGTGTAGATACGCAAAAAGGGAAAGGCATTATCGATATCTATTAATAAGCTTAAATAATTTTTGGATTCCCCCTAGGAATATAATTTTTTTACTCATTTTTTTCTAATTGGAGATCGACTCTGTATTCTTTTCATTCTTTACCACAAGGATTTAAGGCTAATATTTAACATGTTACACATGTGACATTGTATTTGCATATCGCTCTGGAGACTGCCAGTTGAGATTTACAGTTTAAATTATACTGTTTATTTATAAGCAATGTAGAACTCTCTTCTTTGAATAATAATCTGATGATAAGATTGGAAGCTCAGACTTGGTGTGTATGAATGTACACTAAAACAAAACCACGAATATCTGAAAACCCCACACTTTGCTAAGTTTAGCAGTATATTTTATTACTATTTCTGTTTATAACTTTTTACAGAAATTGAAACAAAGTGAATAAGACTCCTTTGAGGCTCCTAAAATTTCATACTCTATAAAAGAGAACACTCAAATTCTCAGTAACAGGTGTTAGGTAGGGTAAGGGAATCTGTGAAGAACAGAATGGTCTCGAAGTGTTGAGTCAAAGCCTTGGAGAACTTGCTCTGAAGTATGCCTTTCGCCCCCTCTTCTGGCTACACAGGACTGTGCAATGCAATATGAGAACAGCTCTAGCTCCTGCTTGTGAGAGCAAGAAGAGCTCCTTTACAACTTTCAGAGACAGCAACGTATCCTTCAGAAACTAGAGATAGATGAATGGTTAAAACAGTTAGCTATGGGTTTACCCTGCTAGTTAAGTCTTGCTTTTCCACTTAATTAGTTATTGGATTATAGGCCTCATGTTGACTTACTTGTTCATACTTGTAAAAAGAGGATAAAAACAGTCTCACTGTAATGTTGTAAAAGTAAGAAAACACAGGCCAGGATAAATTTACAATGAATATTGGTTGCTATTATTACAGAGAAGTTTATAATTTTCAGAGCCTTTCATGGAGCCTGCCTTCATTCAATATTTCCAGAAATTCTTCTAATGGGATTGAGTTTATGTGAGCCTTGCTAGAAATGAGAAAAAAAAAAGATCACAAATAAGTTTTCATGCCTGAACCAAAATAAATCACAATGAATATACAACTGTCTTTGCTAAACATTCACCAATAGATAAATATATTTTGGAACAGTAGATGTTGAACTTACTCATTACATTGAAAGTCTTCCCAAATATGTGATCAGTTGTGATTTAGAGATTTATTTGGTAGAGTTTCTGTCAATGCATTCTTTACAATTAATGCCTTTTGTAATATCACTTGAAGTATATAGTCAGGGATGACCCGATTGTGGCATGAATACAATGCAAATTTAAATTTAAGCAACACAACGAGAGCTGTAACTCAAAGTTTCTACCTCACAGCAATCTTGACATATCAGCCAAAGCATGCATCATGCAAATAATTCACATATATTAAAGATCTCTTTAAATATAGGGATATAGTCATCTCATTACTTATTTAATGTCATCATTTTTCTTGGATACCACTAATATTAATTCCTGCATTTGCGCTGACAGTCATAGGTATGGTGGGTTTTAATTCCTACAAGTGTGATTCTGTCTGGTAGTGTTACTGTAAGTATGGGCATTGTTACTGGAAGTATCCACTCTCTAAAGGCAAAAAAAAGTTGAGAACTACCAGTAACAGAGACTTTAACATGGAACTTTGTGAAAGGGCCACCCCCCCCCACATCAATGGGGACAGGACATCAGGCAAGCATTTGCTCAGAGAATGTAGAAAGTTTTGCATTAGAAAAACTGAAGAAGTGTTCTAAATAAATAGCCAACAAACCAGGAAGTTAAATTGGAAAAAGACATTGAAGAGGCTGGTAAAACTCATTAATAATATTAATAATTCAAGATTGTCCAGAGTTCAATGTGAATAAAATACATGGCTACTAGATATGGTATATTTTAAGATAGAACTTTAGTCTTAGTTGGGAATGGTATTGAGGAATTAAATTTTACTATTGTTTTATACTGTGTGAAATTAAACTTCAGTATTACCCAAAGTTTAAAGGACAGGTTTCTAATTATATATGATTTATAAAATAAATTTTATAATCCAATTAAGTTTTATTCTTTATAGCATTTTCAGAAATTTAATGAATATATATATATAATAGCTCTACTAATTTCTTTACAGTTAATTTTTCTCTACTTTCCCTTAATAAGGGAAAATATATCTAGAAACATCATCAAGTGATTAAAACCATTATATGAGCATTATAATACACCTTTTTAATTAACCTTGTTACCTGCTGGGATGAAATTAAATTTCATAACATTCTTCAGTTGTATCATATTCTTTGGCTATACTAAAATACTTCCAAATATGCACTGATTTCACATTGGTGAAGGAAAATTATTGAAGGCATTTAATTCCTTTACAAAAATGAGACGATTTCAATTCCTCCCCATCTATCTCTTTCCATTAGGAATGGTTCCTCTGAATGATATCAAAAGTTTAATTCCTTCTCCTTCTTCAAGATTCATTTAACTTCTATTTTTGATTTGTGTCCCTTATCGAAATCTATTACGTCTCTTGTTCTGCAATGAAAAAATGACAGTGGGGCATATTGCATTCTTACAGCAATTCAGAGTATTTCCTTAATTTTACTAGCTCACACCAGCACTAATTTAACACACAGATGGAAGGATAAACCAGTCTCCAAGATTCAGAGAAATGTCACTTCTCTGCTGGCTATAATGAGTGATTAGCTTAATTTTTTGCCTTAGAAAACTAATGCTAAATGAAGTTTAGTCATTTACTTATTGTTACATAGTTTCTCTGGGTAGAAAGTTAATATTTGTTCTCATAAGTTGGATATTTCATTTTTTTCTTGAGAAGAGACATTTTCTTTCTTTCTGGAAGCTTATCCCAGAAACATAGAGATGGTATCATGTTTTAAAACACATAAATATTTTTAAAAATAATTGTTTTGACACTGATTTATAGCTCTAAAGTTAATACAAAGTGGAGAGTTAAAGAATCAGGACAGTCAGAAGTACGGCAGTCTGTAATCACACTGGCATAATGGAGTTAGTGTGCATCTGTAAAGACACATTAACTAGGACTGGAAAGGAAAGACTTGGTTTCTCTTTAATGAACTATATGCATGCAGTCCTCGAAGTAGAAAAAGCATTTATTAGAAAATGTGGCATGTATTTCCCCTAAATGGCATTCATTAAGAACCGTTCTTAAGCAACGTTGTAGCTTATGACCATTCATTCCCCAAATACAACCAGGTATCTACAAATAAAGATTAAATATTTGTGATAATCTCTTTGTGCTTTGAAATGCATCATTTCATTATTTAACTGGAATGTTATAGAAATCATGACTTGACTTCACTGAATAAATATAAGGGAATATTTGTTTTATGGATATTTTGAAAAATCCATGATTATATTAAGTTAATTGATGGGATGTTTATTTATAGGTCAGCATTATTGCTTTGTATATTTGCTGTTTTACTGGACACCTCAGATATATTATGTACAGAGTCTTTGGCTTAGATGAAAGGATTACCTCATAAGTACTTTGATCCTTACTTTTCCATATAAGGCAGGGTTCCTTCGATAATTTTCAAACTGCCAGAAGGACCCATCTGAGCCCCATGAATGAAAAGAAGGTGCACATCTGATGGGTCACACCACTGGGAGCTAACAGGGACCTTAATTTCATCATTTTCCAAAAGCAGATCATCTTTATGTAGTTGGGATCTTTGATCACAGCATACTGCTTATACAAAAATCAATCACATTCTCCTTAGTTCAAGATCAGTATGCAAAAACACAAACACACTGACAGTCACAGAGATGACAAGTTTTATATATATA